GGGGGGGGGGGTCAGGAGTAAAACATCTCCTCGAACGTTCTGCCACTGTCTTACATCAGCGGACAATTAGAGAACGTTAGGAGTACGCCATTGGCCGATATTTATAGTAACAGCCTGTTATCTTGTCTGTGTCATAAAATAGTGTTCTTCATTCTGACAAGAGTCCAAAGAAGTTCCAAACCTACGGTCTCACAGTCTGATCTGAAAAAAAAGTGTTGAGTAAAAAAGGAAAGCTTTTTTTTCATTTTAGCAAAGTGTTATGATAGTGCTCATTATAATTATTATGTATGTTAAAGAGTAGGTCAAACAAGATGGCTGTTACTATAAATATCGGCCAATGGTGTAATCCTAACGTCCTCTAACTATCCGCTTGTCTCTCTTACTTAACGTCCCTTCAATATTTCAGTTCTACAACAGTTCTTGAGAAGCATGACAAGACAGTTGACGTTTATCAAGATGGCGCAGGTAGGTTCACTAGTTTTTTTTAAAACCCGTGATTAAAATTGATCCGTCACTAATTAAAAAATAACAACAGGTATGTCACTATTACAATACTGATTTTGTACCTAGCTTAAACACTATGTCAGGTGCATAAAGCAGAGAGAGAGAGAGAGAGAGAGGGGGGGGAGAGAGAGAGAGAGAGAGAGAGAGAGAGAGGGTGGGAGAGGGAGAGAGAAGTCGACGCCACGTTTGTCTGTCTCTGGCCACTTCCTCTAACCGTGTCACATCCAGGCCTTTTCTTGATAGCCTCATCCCTGATCGCGCTTCAGTAGCAGCCAGTTGGTCTGCCTCTTTTCCTTTTTCCTTGTAGTCTCCATAACCACTGGTCTGCTTTTACTTTTTCGATATAGTCTCCAGTGCTATTAGTCTACCTCTTTTCCTTTTTCCATTTGGTCGGTTTTAAGGATAAGCGGGCCAACCCAGATATCGGGGGTTTCGAGAAATCTTGACCCACACCAAAAGTGGACATTGCCCTTCCTGAAGGAGAAATTTGGTTTCATTGGTGTGTGTATCCGTTTGGTTGCAGAGAAAATGCTTTACCTCGATTTTCTCAACAACAAAAAAACAAAAACAAAACCCATTTATTAGTCTCCGGCACCGTTGATCTACCTCTTGTCCTTTTTCCAATTATTCTTCAGAACGGTTGGTTCATCTCTTCTCCTTTTTTTACATTTAGTCTCCAATACCTTTAGTCTACCTTTTCTCCTTTTCCCATTTTTGTCTCCAATATCGTTGATCTACCTCTTCTACTTTTCCATGTGATCTCCAGAACCACTGGTCGACCTCTTCTCCTGTTTCCCTTTGGTCTCCAGAACCATAATATGATGGGACAATCTCGTCTCTCCAATAACAACATCCTCCTTTATCTCCTCCCCCCCCCCACCCCACGCCTTTTTCAATGTCCCTTGAGAAGACTGCCCGGCCCCATCTGTCCAGCAACGAGGTGACCACTAAGGCTGTGCACGACCTAGAGGCCGTGGACTTTGACCAGATCCGATCACAGATCGGCTTCGCGCTAAACGACAAGTCTTTGGCCTGTGAGGAGAAGGCGACTGATGGTGAGTCCAAAAGCAACTCATTCACAGCGTGGTGAAGTGAGCAACAGTCGTATAAAGTCCTTTTTTCCAAAGACACAACGCGGACCTGAGGCTCGAATCCCCGAACCTACAACTTCACTATTTCGAGTCCGTTAAACTTTATCTGTGCGTCATGTTTTACTACCGTATTCACACGACGTGGGGAACTCTGTGCCACCACTTAACCAAACCACAAAACTGCCCACTCCACCATACATAGTAAACCGAGAATACCGGCACGTAGAATTTTCCTCCATCTCTGTAAGTTGTTGATTTAGCAATGGAAATTTAATTATTTTTAAAAATTATTATTATTATTATTATTATTATTATTATTATTATTATTATTATTATTATTATTATTATTATTATTATTATTATTATTATTA